ACAATAATACAACAAAATTAGTGTCTTAAAAAGTTAAATATTAGATTAAAAAAATAAAATTATGATAATAATACAAAATCAAGCTTTCAATGGCGACTTTGAATGTCACGATGACTCCAAAAAGTTACCATTGATTATCAATTTTAGTGATAACTTCTATATTATTGTTGAAACTTATAACATATTTATTGTAACATAGGTTTTTAAGAAGTTATAACATATTTTAAAATATATTGATAATCAACAGCAACTCTAAAAAGTCACCACTGAAAGTCTCATTTTCTACAGTGACTCTAAAAAGTCACCGCTAATTGTCAACGTTTAACGACGACTTATATATTACCGTTGAAACTTAAACCTTTGGTGATGACATGCACTTGTCACCACAAAAAATCAAACTTTTAACGGCAACTTCAATTATCACTACTAATTGTTTATTTTCAATGCGACTTCATAGAGTGGCCTCGCCACTAAAAGTTATTATTTTTTTTTTTAGTAGTTGTAATGGCTTGTGTCAAGTCTTATATTATATATGAATCATTAGACAATACGCCAGGACATATTGCTCTAGCCTTGTTCATTCCTTTTGTCTCATTATCTTTCTTGAGTCCTTTACATTAAGCAATACTATTAATCATGACTTATGAAGTGTACAAGTTGTTAGATGTTGTGTGTGTATACAGATTATTCTTCAATCCTGTTGAAATGTGAAAAAAAAAGTGAAATGAATAATTAAATCTAATTACATGGAAGCCAGTAAGATAGATAAAGAATGATTAAAAGAATAAAAAAATTGTTGGTCATGTTTCGTCCCTTTCGAATAATTAATATTATACATTGCAGTCCTATTCAAAATTTTCATACCCATCTTTCTTACTTTACTGCCTCACCACATTCAAAATTTACAACTACACTTTCCGTCTTTGTGCCATTGACCTCATTTCTTCATAAACGTCCATTGCTATTACAAATGGTTCCTACCGCAAAGATGGAAAATAACTCCCACAAAAAGTAAGGGATTTTTTTTTTTTTTCGGGAGGCACATAAGAGATGGTGTGCAAAGAGGGGGTCAAAACATATATGGCAAGTATTTTCTATCATTGGTAAATAAAAAAGCATTTCTACAGAGGAAATGAGAAATGCACATATATAGAAAAAAGATGAAAATTATTTCTTACTTCTTTTCTAAAAAGCATTTTTCTATCTAGTATCTACCAAATATATTACGTAACTTTTGGTTTGGATGAGAAGAAAACTAAAGAAAAAGAAATACTGGGAGAGAAAACTCTCAAAAAAGGTTAAATAAAAAAACATTACTACTTTGAAACGTTTTCCTCCCTAATATTTTCTCCCCCTTATTTCCCTTCCATTTTCTCCTATATCCAAACTTGATACTATCTTAAACTTTACATACCATTGATTACATTCTAGACTCAACCATTATATAAAATAGGTTAAGCTACTTGGATAAGATGTAGTATATACCACAAGTCTACCTCTTGTAGTCCTTTTTTTTTTTGCATTTATTTTAGACATGGGACTTCTTATTACATACTCTACTCATTTGCACGTACTTTTAAAGACGTGACCTGGTGAACTGACACATTTAAATTATGTACATGATGTAAAAGGTGCAAAACTCCACAGGGTAGTGACAAAACATGTATGAGTCGGATACAAAGATTCTCCATTAAAAAGGTCTCTTGGACAAATTAATAGCTTAAAGGAGGAAAGACAAAATCCTTTATCAAGTTTTCTTGTCTTCAAAGATTAGGAGGTGAAATTAAAGTAGTGGATAGGGTGAATTGAATAACTCAACTTCATTTAATAATTATAATCCCCCTTTGTCACCTCTTTTTTTTTGGCTATTTGTTTAGCGAATTACCCATTCATTATGTCGCATCTATTAAATACTATGTAACAATATTTTCTTTTATTCATTTTTCTTAATTTAAATAATCCCAATACTTTATGATGTAGTGTATCACAATATTATACTTCATCCATTTAAAATATAAGTCTTGTAAAGTTTTTTACATGCGTATACTACGAAATAAAATTAATACATTAAAATATTGATCTCGTCGGTAAATTTACTCTTAATTTAATGCATTTGAAACATTTTCACTTACCCATATGAATAAGGATATAATAGAAAAAATATTAGTAAATGTAGCTTTAAACTTCTAAAGAGACATATAAAATAAAATAAAAATTTTCTGGAAAAAAAGACTTATATCATGAAACGGAGGGAGAATTTAAATCATGAGTTTAATGAATCATTTGTTGTTCAATTGTATTTTAAGTAGAGTAAATATGCCTTTTTAAAGTCATCATGAATAAATATTAAAATATCTCATTGTATAATATACAAATCATTCTGCATAGCATCATGGGACGACAACTAATTGCGAAAAACAACGGTGGGTTATGTGTGGAGAAACTAGGAAATACATGGATCCATTGTCGCTTCTTTTCTATCCAATTACAACACAATAGTAATATTATTAAAAAGACGTGCTAGCAAAAGTTACTAACGATTTCTCGTTATCTATATGGTCGGGGCTTGGAATTTTTTTTTTTTAGCAAAGACGTCGCTTCATTCACAACTCGATCCTTGTACTAGTATTATGGTCATATCTAATTAAGAAAGAAAACTAACTCACAGCTAGTTGTAGGTTATTAAATTCTTTATGCGCTGACCAATTGTAAAATGATTACTTTCACCTCCCCTTTAGTTTCAAATTAATTTAATAAAGATTAGTTGAACACAAACCATCGGCTTTGTCCCGCCGGAACAGTGAGGCTCCCTTTTTCTTAGATTAAGAATTTGAGGACCAACCTTTTTTCATATGGTCATGTCTTCAGCAAAATCATAATATTATGCGGTTCTATCAGCAAAAGGTGATAGGTAGAATGTTTGAATTGGAATATTGCCACGGTAAATGTACTTCAGCTTAATTAATAGTCAATATTAGAGTCAAGCATTTTCAAAATTGCCAGATTTTCTTTCAAATTTCAATTGGAGATTAAAAAAAGGGTTTGTTAAAACTACTCAAAATAAAGTATGTATAAATAGTCCAGTGAAGGTTAATCAAATAAGTAAAAGCATCAATTAATTTTATATTTTCTAGTAAGATGTGGATGCAAATTCCGTTCTCAATATGAAATTTCATCTGTGAATAAATTTTAAGTAATTTTTTTTAGAAGAATTAAAATGTATGAACAAGGCTAAGAGTAAAATAACATTTATCTAGGCAATGTGAAAATTAATAAAATAATAAGCCTATCATAGGAAATAAAAAAGATAGCTATAGTTAATAACTACTCCTCTTCATGTCATTATTGGTTTAAGTAAATGTAACAATTAATTGGATTAAAAAAAATACTTAACCTCCCATATCTAACTTTAAAGTAGAATAACCACATATATTAAGATTTGTCGTTAGATCACAGAACCCAATATGGGTCACAAATCAAGGGTCAATATATATTAATAATGTTTCTCTATAGCCCCAAAGTATCAATCATCGATCCCATGTTTCCACTTGATCTTCTAATAAAGTGACGGCCCTTAATGGAGTCAGAGAGATAAGGAGGGGAGGGCAACATCGACCAAAATCGATATTAATATTAAAAGGGGCGCTGCTAAAATAATTGGAACCATAATTTAATCGAAAATGCTGGACTTTGCACGAGGGACATACAGCCAAGGGCTTATCACTGAGTGTCTCTCGCCAGCACTGCCTGTGGAAGCACCCAATGCTTTCAATTGAATCAGACATAGAAAACTAAAAATAATGTTTGGGAGGAAGAGAGAGTCAGTCCAGCTAGCAGTGCTGTGCAGAAACCTTAAGTGCACACATGTAGGCATGGACAGAGAAATCCACCATTCTGCCAAAGTAAGCTTTTTAGGATCATGTCTTCCTGTGAGACTCATTTTGAGCCCTACAACACGTGGGTGGGGGGTGTCAAAGTGTCTGCAATTTTATCTCATCGAAATACAGAAGAGAGAGAGGAACTGCTCCTTCAAACGCGTCAGACAGCTTCGACTACAACAAACAAGAAAGTATGTAAAATGCCCTCATCAGCAGAGTCACACACACACACGCACATATGTATATTTTACTTCAATTTGTGCTGTGCTCATGAGGTGATCGGCATCTATGAGACAAAGCGAATGTCTCAAAAATTCAAAAAAGAAAAGTAGTGATCGCCTTTTTTTCTGATCGGATTCATCACAAATGCATACATTCATGAACCCCATGATCGCAATTCCTATTTCCTTATGTGCTGAGTGTTGTCTGCACGAGTTCATATATCATAATGTCTTGATTTATTGGTTCGTCCAAAACATATAGGGCAAAAGCATTAATATGGATCACCATTTTCTTGCTTTATTTTGAACTCACAGCCTGTAAATGACGCTGAAAAATCATAGCCATGGATTTTGAATAGCAGTGATGTGATCTAAAATTCTAAATGCAGGTGCATGAATCCTATCTGGTACATTTAAGGAGGTGGCCTGGAGCGGATAAAAATGTTTCTTTATTGAATATAATAAATTTCTCATTTCTAATACTGGGAAATGTCGGCCCTATATCACGTACAAACCCTAGCAATGCTGATGATGCCTCTGGTTTCTGGCAGAACAAGGTCATTGAAGCAATATATATGCAGGCAAAATAGCTCTGAGAGTTTACAATGAGCTGCAAGACCCAGAATTTCTGTGCCACAAGATGCTTCCTTCATCAGCTTCAACTTCATCACATATTCTAAGTCTAATCAATGATCCCGTTGATCATTTCAAGAAATAAACTAAAGTCATCACCGTCAAGTGCATCTATAGAAAATAAAACAACAAAAATCATAATAAAATAATTGGAAGTGAAAATAAAGATGCATGCAACCATGAGAATCCTAAAGGACGAAAAAAAAAATGGCAGATGATATGAAGAAGCTAGGATTGTAAATGATTAGTATTAAATAATTCAGAAACCTATCAAAAGATGCCGATGATCATCTTTTTTTATTTTATTCCGATCCAAACGCAGAGTAACAAAAGAGAAAAGGAAGCCAAGTTCATAGCAATAGCCATCATATCATATACATTCATAAGCAAGCATTCTACCTCATCCATCTTCACAGTTCACACCTATTTCAGTACTCTAAACACTGTAAATTTCTTTCCCACTTTTCTCTATCTTCCAAAACACCAGCAACTTCTGGCCTAAACACCAAGCCCTTTTCTATCAGTAAGGTGGCCTTCCGTGAGCCCAAGCAAAAGCTTCGTGCCCCACCTGTCCTCCGCCGTTGGGCATCAGATTCGGCGGCAGATTGTACAGAGGCAGAGACGACGGATCCGGGAGTCCGGCCGGCAGTGACTGGCCTCCGCTGCTACCAATTCCCCGTGGTGATCCTCCTCCTCCTCCTCCTTGTGCAGCGGCACTGGCTCCCTCATCTTCATCATCAAGTGGTAGTCTTTCGTAAGTGGCATTAGCAAACGTTGCAGCAATGACCATCACTGGTCCAGCCGCTACTAGAGACCCGACGACACTTCCTCCGACAACCTGTCCTTGTCCTCCTGCGAGATACACTGTGAGCCCCGTCGCGCCGGGAGGGGCAGGTCCAGGCAAGAACGCACCTGTTAGGGATAGAATTTCAAACCTGCCATGGAGGGCCACAACAGCTCCAGGGGCAGCGGGTTGTCGGAGAGTGACGTTGGCGACGGAGCCGCTTCCACTGAGCACGCAAACACCACGCTGACGCCTCCGTGCGAATTGGGCCACACTCTCCGCCACGTCGGCTCCTCCTGCAACCTCCATCACGTGGCTTCTTAGGGCGTTGGGGCTATCTCGGGTGACGAAGATGGGTGGCTTGGGTTTGTTTTTTGATCCGGGAGGTCGGCCCCTGGGCCTGCGGGTTCCGACGTCGACTGCACCTTCCTTGGGCTCGTCTCCGTTGTCTCTTTCTTCGTCTTCTTCTCGGTTGCCGCTCCTGCCGCTGCTATCGTTAATGGAAAGATCGGTGTGGCGCTTGTTGAGGGTGGGCGAGTTGGTTGCCGGTTCTACTCCCGGCAACCCCACCTGACCGGTCCACCAAGGATTAGCCAGACTTGCTTCTCTAGAAGCTCCCAAGTTCAGAAAACGAGATATGACTCTCGTGAGATAAAAGAAGGCAAAATTAGTGCTTGAGCTCTGTAGCCAGGTGGTTTTCTGTCTCACTTGTTTCAGAATTTAGGTGAGGGAAAGAGATTGTGAAACCCAGAGTTGATGTTTGACTCAATAGGGCTTGCTCTTCTGTGACTTTCTGACCTAATTCTGAAGTTCTGGGTGTCTCTCTGAGGGAAGACGGGAAGAGATAGAGATACGGAATTGTAGGAAGAAGAGAATCAGATTCATCAACTGATAAGCTTGTATGACCAAATTAAAGAGCTTGCTGTTTCATCAAACAGAAAAGAGAAGATTAAGATCATCGGACGATCAGCAAGTGATATCTCGTCCTTCTTTAGTTGTGAATTCTCTCTTTTGGACTGCTCAGCAACAGGTGATCTCACGAACATGGAACAGATGCGAAACCCTTCAAAGAATCAAGCACAAAGAGAAATAAGAAAGCAGAAAGAGGAAGAGTGTAAAGAGGGAGGGTGGGAGAGGGAGAGGGAGAGGAGAGAAGTTAAAGCATATGATAATGGATCAAAGTTGGTAGCAATTAGCGAATAGAATAGAGAAATAGAAGAAAAAAGGGAAACTATTTGGACAAAAACTGCGGAGAAATGCTTCACTTGATTTCTGGGGAAACCTCTGTTGTGATACGGGAAGCTAACAATTACATATTGTTATGTCATACTTTTTTTTTTTTTTTTTTTGAGCGTTTGGTCGCAGGATTATAATAGGAACAAGAAGCTCTGCTTTTAGGGAAGGCCTTGACATTAGGGTTTGGGATGTGGGGTCGCGTGCGCGTGGCCAGGTGGGGAGCACGTCGTTTTTGGTAGTGGGGCCCATTTATCAACGTACGCATACCATTTTGTAGAGTGAGACGCAGCTTCAATCACCTACAGGCTCCAGCTGCAAGTCTGCAACCTTATGTCCTTGTCGGACCATCTAATACAGAGCCTATCACCGTATTCTCTTTCTCTCTCTCTGTTTTTTTTTCTTTTACCAGAACCTATCACCATATTCACTCTGCTATATATTAACCTTGTTTTTTAAATGACACTCGGGATCTCTCGATTAAACTAATATCTTCGCAAATCATCATGTCTTTTACCCGATAAAATATTATCATTACTTCTTGCAAAATTGTAAATAGTATAAAAAAATTCTCTTCCCCCTCCCTCTCTCCCACGCTCTCTGATTTTGTGAGAAAATATGTAAGTGTCCTTGTATCATATTCCCTTCAACCCCATATATAAGTCACTCAATAAGAAATTCATGTTTCTTTTTTAAGTATTCACTACTAAAAAAATTGATTTAACAAGGGATGAATTCATTATTAAATGAATATATCATTTGCTAAATGAAATTTGGTGAGGGATTCGTCCCCTACTAATTTCATTACAAAAAACAACATTATTAAATATAACAACGAATACATTTTTTCACTAAATTAGCAAAGGATTATATCTCTTGCTAAATAATTTTTCATTAAATATATCTTAAAATGATCACCCAATGCCGCATAACCGGTGCCTTGTCACTCGTCACATGAGGTCAACTCATGACATGTCACCTGTACAACAACTCATATTATGTTTGAACCTTGACTCATAATTTATCCAAGTCTCATATTATCCTTTATTTGCTAGTTGAACTAGAATACATTTGTAGTTATTATATAATAGATTAAATATATATTATTTAACTACATAGAGATATCAAATAATATATTATAAAAAATATATATATGTATATTTTATTTTATTTTTAATTAATAATATGTTAAAAATACTTATATTTGTAATGAAAATGAACTTAAAATAAAGAAAATCTAAATATTAAATAATTTTATTTTGAATATTTTAGTAAATTTTTAAATTTGATTTTTATTTTTAAATAAAAAATAATTAAATATATAATTAATTAAAAGTTATTCCCAAAAGTTAATTTTTTTTGTAATAATTAGCAAGGGACAAAATCTCTCACCAATTATCTAATTTTAGAGAGGGATGTCAATCTCTCACTATTTTTTTACTAATTATCTTATTTTAGAGAGGGATTGATAGTTTCTCACTATTTTTCTCGCTAATTTTGAGTTTAGCTTTGAAATTAATATCTCTAACTAATTTGATATTTTAAAGAGGAATAGACAATTTCTCACTAAATTTTCTCTCCAATTCACATTGTTCTAGTAGTGATTTTGCATAAAAATGATGCATTTAATAATGTAAATTTGGACACTTTTTCTTTCTTCAAATAAAATTAATAATTTAACTACCTCTCCTAATTAATTTTGATAAAATAGTTAGAAATAATTTATAAATAATTTATATTTTATAAATTATTTTCAACATGTTTAAAAATTCAATAAATTTTTAGCTTTAAGTATACTTTATATTTATATTTAGTGAGGGTAAAAGGAAAAACTTATAATAAAAAATTAATGATATTATAGATAGGATGAAGAGTAGTAGTTCAAAATTTCTTTTTTACTTATATTATATTATATATATATATATATATATATCTTTAGTAATTTAAATTTATTCAATGTAAGACTTGCTACGCACTCTTAATTCAGACTTAAGCTCAACATTTGAAGATTAAAATGTAATAGTATCTTCCAACCACTCGTCATGCTCGGTTAATTAGAAACAAATTATGTTCGTAATTTTTTTTTTTTGGGGAACAACTAGGATGATTTCAATCCACTTGAAGTCGCGTGTAAAAAGTGATTAAAATGGGGATATAAACCTAAGCTTATTCGAGAATTCCCAGACGAGCGCGCAACATATGGCTTTAGTTAGCTAATGCCGTTATCATTCAACGATATATATATATATATATATATATATTGTAAGACAGGGTATGGAAAGTTTGATCCATTATACAAGTGTAACATACATAGAATTGTTTGAGATTAATGCTGAATTTATCCTTTTGTGTATCGTGATTGCTTGACTATATATATATTTTTTCACAATAAAAATAACTTTTGGATCAATTATTATAAGGTTATAAGATAAATTGGCTCACTGGCCAAAATAAATACTGTAACCAGGAAATATGGACCAGATTTTTTGAAAAATTTAGTGAAGCCGGTTCATATTAATATACAATGAGTTTATCATTGATATATAATAGTATATCATGAAAAATATAATAAATCAGCCTATAATATAAAATATAATAAATATTATGCTATTTGCTTGGTTTGACTTTATAACATGGGTTATATTTGCAAAAATCTCTAAGTTATACATGCGTTAATGGTGATTAATTGCTCTTTAAAATATTTTGGGTACAAATCCCTTCCATCAACCTAAAGCATTATTTAAAATAATTTAGGCATCTCAAAGTATGAAGCACACTAATTTATGATTGTTTAGTATTTTCCAGGTTGTCCATAAATTATAAGCATTAAATCTGCTTCGTTTGTTCAGTATTATAAATTACTTTTAATCAAATTACACTTTTAATAAGTTAACTAATTATATTTAATTGAAATTACGCGCTTTGTATATTTATTTCATTTAATAAAGTGTCTCAATTAAAAAAATTATTAGTTATGCTGTTAATAACAAGTATTTAAAAAAATATTAATAATTGTATTTTGAAAGACTCAAAATAATTATTATTTTCTAAGATGATACTTTAAGAAAATGTCTTATAATATTGAATGAGGTGAGAATGTGTATAACTGCCCACCCAACCATTATTTTTGTCAATGCTTATGCTGACCTATACATCTAGTTAAGAGTGAATGATTTTGCTGATTATATAGCATATTGGTATTATATTGTTTACAGGGGGTTGTTTTCTAAAATTTTTGTTTGAGAAACCGATTAATTGAGGCATATCTATTTCAATCAAAACAAATTATAAGACTCGTCAGCACAACAGCTTATGTTAATGGTCTTTTTTTTTATTTGACTGGACAAGAATCCCAGACTTGTCGTCACCTTCAAGCTGACCGACAAGCTATGCTCCTCAAATAAAAATTTACCAATCGTACAAATTATACAAGATGCCTGTAACTCACTTGTTCTTGCTGTTTGTTGCATACATAATATATACACCCCCAACTAGTGATTTCTTTTTTCTTTTTTCAATAATTTATTCATACATATAACCTCCTTGAAATTTTATATCTTGTACGGTACACGGCATGCTGTTGTTAATTGGCGTCCGACATGTACATGACCATTTCCGCTGTTTATTTTATGTAAATATTGATGGAATGTTATTCGGGCATAATCAATGACCATCGATCTGAATAAACAGGAATCAAAATATCACAACGTAATGACGCAAGGTTGGAATCTGTACTATGTCCAATCGAAATAGATATAATTCATGTCATCATATGATAATAAAGTAACAAATTAAATTGATTTAGACATCAATGAAAAAAAGGGGGGGCATATTATCCAATTTAATAGGGCGAATAATACATATTCCTACCGGCTACCGCATATAATTGAGGAAAGCGCTCTTGCAACTTTTTCCTTTGACGAGCATCGTGATATATATGATACTACACATACGAAAAGACCTAAAACGCCCTTCAGGGGAACATAAATTAATAAGATTTTAATTTAATATTGTATATGAAATAAAGTAGTGTGTGACACAGGGAGGGATCGGAGCGAGTCCAAGGTTGAGGCATTAGGAAGTTCAGTGTGTTTGTCATCAACTTGGATGACAACTAAATTAAATAAAAGTGTCGCTTTGATGATTGTCGTGCTCCGTTGAACATGCTCGCATGATGAACTTCTTGATTTTCCCAGATCCATAATTGACAGAGACCTCTAGCTTCATAAGCGATGCATGCAAGTCGACAGTTTTTGGTTCACGGTGGGCTTCAAAGCCCAACACAGTCAAACACTTCGGGGGATAATAACACTTTAAAACCCCCCAATTTTAAGATTAAAGAATGAATACGCACGCTCGATTGAAATGATTCACATTAAGCCTTTAAATTCTTCAACTTAAGAATACTTGTTTTAATGACGTTGAATAATAGACCTGGAGTAATTTTAGACCAATTTATGTTACAGGATTTTTTATCCTCATTTCTA